TTATCAGTGTTTGCCTGTTATTGGCTTCTTGCTGTTGGCAAACACGTAAATAAATTAATTGAATTGAATTGAATTGAATTTAGGGTTCCAAAGGCTTAAACCTTGTAGATTTTAACAGAAGGTTTCGTAGTGTGCCAGCAATAGGCTGTAATGCAGACCACTCGCTCTTGAAGAAAAGTTAAACAATAAGATAACCCAAATGAAAAGTCTACGTGTTCATCTCGTCAGTTGCAGCCCTGAATCATTGATGTGAAAATGAAATAAATAATTTTTCATTCATCTTTTAAATGCTCATTCACCTCTGTTTGCAACAAGAACACTTCGAATTGGACGATATTCTACGTCGGTGGTGTAATTCCGTCTTGATATGGACCACACGAAGAATCTGTGATGCTGCGAAGGGAAGCCAGCCCCCCGGGAGGATCGAGCGATGCAGACACTCAGCATCGTGGTTAAGACAGTGACGGCAGACGTGCAGGTGCGACAGACCGACAGGAATTACAGATCGTCAGTCGAGATCTTTTGCCGATGTCACCACATCTAAAATAAACCCAACATTTCATTTTCATCCCTCTTCTAGATTTATTCTTTCATGCACCATGTATTTAATTCAGTCTTCACATTTTACTATAATTTAAACTGCATTATTTTAAGATGTACGCCATTTACAAGGAGCATCTGATGACTTTATGTCAACTGTTCGGAATCCTTTTCCTAATATCATTGCCACTTCGGCACGGGGTCATCATCTGGAAGGAACTCTATGATCCTAGTTTTTATGACACTTCTGACCGGGAATGACCTCAGAAATAAGATCTTCAAGTTCTGACAAGATGTCATGGGCTAGTCACGTAACATTTGATTCTTTAAAACTAAAGCAGTTGATAAATTCTTCAAATCTATAAAAATCCCATTTCTTTGGTTTCATGTTCATAAAATATTCCTCAGTTATGAAACCTATTAAAACATTCTAATCTGTCCTAACCGGTTTATTTGATAGTGTAATTTATATAATGTTTATTTTTATATAAACTATTTTAGATCGTAAATATTTACTGTACTTACAGGCATAAATGGCATCTCCACAGTTTCTGACCTATGTGTTTATCTTTTTTGCCAAAGTCCACCATTCTGGTTCATGTAACTGATTAGTACTACCCTTCAAGCATAATTTTCATATTAATCCACATATATTGTGGACAGTGCGTTATTTTGTATGAAAGTAATCACGAGTTACAAGTAGTGAAATACCAGAACATATCTTAATTACAACTACAACTACTTAAGCTACTGAAGGATTGTGATGACAGAATGGAACTAACTAACTAACTAGATGGCTTACGGAACCCGAAGGTTCATCACCGAATTAACCAAAGCCCTGTCCTGGGCCAACAAAATCCAGTCTCCTTCAACTCCTATCTCCCATAGATCCCGCCTGAGATTATCCTCCCATCTACGTCTAGGTCTCCCCAGAGGTCTCTTCCCCTCAGGCTACCCGGTGCACACCTCTTGTCCCATCCATGCGCGCTACATGTCCCGCCCATCTCATTCTTCTCGACTTAATCACCCTGACAATATTGGGGGAGGAGTACAGATTTTTAAACAGAATGGTACATGGGGAAATAAAGCAGAAATTGCCTCTTATAAGACACAAAGGTACGAAGATAAAACGAGGCGACATAACAGAAGAAAATTATTCCATGTGGACAGACAGGGAAC